TTTGCTTATCAGATACTTGAAGGCCTTGAACATCTTCATAGCCTTAATATAACACACGGAAAAATTACAGGTGATTTTTGCTTTCAAAAGCATTAAATATAGGCCTATACCTTTATAAAAAATGCCAAAATAACATAAAATACTTATAATCTGAAGGTGGCCTAGCGGTAGAGAGCTAGACTGCTAACCCGTAAGTCTTGAGTTCGAATCCAGGTTCAAGTCAGTACAAGTCCACCCAGCTCTTATGGGTACCTAACTACCTTTAGGAAAGTAAAAGCTGCTGGACATAGCCCTTCATATGCCGAGGTCACAGAAACAGGTGAACTCTACTTCACCTGCCCCGAAAACCGTCAGGTTTGAAGGGAAACTTTAACTTTACTTACTTATAATCTGCAGCTTTCTCCACGCAACAAAAGAAACTAAACGAGTGTAAAAAAAAACGTTCAACAAAATGTTTAAAAAAATTAATTAAATGTACATATTAAATTGGCGGGGGTCGATGGGGAGCAAAATCATACCCAAATAATTTATTTTTCTTCAGTTCTTTGTAATAATACTTGATTACTGTTGAGCTTAGTTATAATTTTCTAGTGAATTTTCTTGTCTTTTTAAGCTACAAATATTTTTATGCAAAATGAATCCAACATACAACTATCGGACTTTGGAGTAAAACTACTTCTAGAAAGACTAAAGCAATGCTCAGACATTTCTTTTTGCATGGCGCCTGAAATCGAAAGGGGTAGGCCGTATACGGACAAAGTTGATATATGGTAAAAATGTAAATTTTATATTTATGCCTTGTCTTGTAACATGGCCTTTCATCACCAAAGACGTTAACTACAAATGCCTTTTAAATCAAAATATAAATATTGCTAAGCTTTACATAGTTATTTTTTTAAGAGGAATTTCAAATTTATTTAGTACTAATAGCCCCATTGTGTAACTGAGATTATTAGCCACGAGTTTCAAATAATCAATTGACAGATGAGCACTTTTTAAACTAACAACTAAAGTAAGTATATTCTAAAATAAAATGAAACACAAAATACAGTTATTGTTGTCATCAAAACAATATTGCATATAAAATTGATGGGAGCCGGACGTTTTCCCGAAAGACACTTGCCCGAATGTCGTTTGACCGAAGGCCGATTTCCCGAATGGACACTTGCCCGAATGCGACAAATGCCCGAATGGACACTTGCCCGAATGCGACAAACGCCCGAATGGACACTTGCCCGAATGCGACAAATGCCCGATTGGACACTTGCCCGAATGCGACAAATGCCCGAATGGACACTTGCCCGAATGGGACAAATGTCCGAATGGACACTTGCCCGAATGGGACAAATGTCCGAATGGACACTTGCCCGAGATTGCGCATTAAAAATTGGTATAGTATTGAAACAGATTCAAACTCGTGACTTTCGGGATAGCATCCTAGCGCTCTATAACTTAGGCCACACCATACAATAGTATAGCTTTAGAATACAATAAATATAAAAACAATCGTTTTTTATTTAATTACACATATAGCCTGTATACAAATATATATACATATATATATATATATATATATATATATATATATATATATATATATATATATATATATATATATATATATATATATATATATATATATAAAATATTGCACATTGTAGGTTTCAAGCTGCAAGAAAACAAGCGTAATGATTTGTATGCAGCAGCGGGTCTGTTTGAAAGTCATTCGTCACCTTCTCGGTTTCCAGCATCAGGTTCTTTATTAATTTAACACACTTCAATGATAGTAATTATTAACAAAGTGGTTACTGGGTATTTTATACACGTATTTCTAAAATTATCATTATGTGAACTGCCTTAATTTATGAAAGAGTAGGATCAATGCAAAAACAGAATAAATTTTAAAATAGTAACTTAGCTATAATAGAATTGCACATGCATAACTATCTATAAGATGTTTTAAAAATATTTTTACTTTACGTTAGCTGCAACTATAAGAACAAGAGATACCAGTGATTCGATTGACTTTTCAAGGCTAGATGAAGTGCTGAGGATGGCTAAAAAATTAAGCATTGGCGAGCCGGCATGTCGTCTAAATCGTGTTCCAGGTGCTGAGTTTAATGCAATCAATTCATCTTTTTAAATACTTTTTTTTCGATATCAAAATTGTATTTGTATAGAGTCGCGGCATAGTTTATGCATTAAAAAGTAACCTTAAAATTTTTGTTGACATTTTTTATTTCTGCTTTAGGAAATAAGCAAAACAAGCCAATGAAAGGTAAACTTCTGCCTAGGCATGAGCGGCAAATACGGGCTAATTGGGTGAAAATTCACAATGAATTGGATCCTGACATAATCGTCCCTTACTTGTTTAAAAATAATATTGTTACTGGCGACGATATGAAAATGGTAAGGGATAAAAAAGTCGAAATGAAAAGGTATACGCATTTCTAGATATAATTCTCGATGCCGGGCCAGGAGATGCATTTGCCATTTTCATACAGGCTTTAAATGAATGGTATCCTCATTTAGCTCAACAGATAATGGCAACAGAGTGAGAATCTATGCGCTCTCACAGCACATTTTTGTTTGCTAAATATCATTTGAAATATATTATAAAGTACAACTTTATACATTGATGAATTACATTTTTTTTATTTGTTTTCTCTTTTATGTAAAGTAAATATTATTGATAAAGCTAGCATTTAATTAAAATTTAAAGAAAATTTAAAAAAAAAAGCACAGCGTCTATTTTGAAGAAGCATGTTAATACGCATTGTTATTGAAAACAGATCTAACTTAAAATCTATGTTTGTTACCTTCTCAATTGTTTCTGTTATTTTTAATCTTTTAAATAAACATAATTATAACCAGTTTTGAGATTATAAAGATTATTTGTAAATGCTAGAAATATTTTCTTTTCTAATTAAACATCCATTTAAATTGCATTATTAAAACCTGAACTCTATATCAAATAAATCTACTCTGGGAAAACTTGTGTTAAATTTATATATTTATTTAAAAAATCATTTTTTTCTATTATCATGATTTTGAATTGATTTTTTTAAAATCTATGATGATTACCATAAGAATAAAAGTTCGATAACTACTCTTCAATGTTTCAATGTCATATTTAAATAGTGTAGTTTATATACATATATATATATATATATATATTTATATATATATATATATATATATATATATATATATATATATATATATATATATATATATATATATATATAAACATATATATATATATATATATATATATTTTTTTTTTTTTTTAAATTAATTATTTAATTAATTTATACCATTAAAAACCCCAATGCCACCAGTTAAAAAATGTTAATAAAGAATTTAACAGTGGCATTTAACACGATGAATCATAAGTTGAGTTCTAAATAGTTATTAATACATTTTTAAGATTTCGTACAAGCGTCAAGTAAGTGGAACGTTAGCAGAATCGCGTATAAAGATGAAACAGTAAACCGACAAAATAGAAATTTAGATAGCTATTCATATTTGTAACTCAAATACTAAACAATAATTTATACAATAAACAAGCACCTTTCTTATCAGAAGTCCTTTCCCATTTTATATAATAACGAGAAAAAGGGCCCGTTGAGGAAGGATACAACGGGCGCTAGGCTGATAGTGCTGTCTCTTTTCTCTAAACTAAAACCACCCCACCCCCCACACACACACACCACCCCCCACCCCACCCCCCCCCCCCACCCCCCAAAAAACATGTCTCGTTGAGGAAGGATACAACGGGCGCTAGGCTGATAGTGCTGTCTCTTTTCTCTAAACTAAAATCACCCCACCCCCCCACACACACCACCCCCACCCCCACCCCTACCCCCCACCCCCCAAAAAACATGTCTCGTTGAGGAAGGATACAACGGGCGCTAGGCTGATAGTGCTGTCTCTTTTCTCTAAACTAAAATCACCCCACCCCCCACACACACCACCCCCACCCCCACCCCTACCCCCCCACCCCCCAAAAAACATGTCTCGTTGAGGAAGGATACAACGGGCGCTAGGCTGATAGTGCTGTCTCTTTTCTCTAAACTAAACCCCCCCCACCTCCCCCCCCCCACACACACCACCCCCCCCCCCCCCCGCCCCCCCCACCCCCCCCCCCCACCCCCCAAAAAACATGTCTCGTTGAGGAAGGATACAACGGGCGCTAGGCTGATAGTGCTGTCTCTTTTCTCTAAACTAAATCCACCCCCCCCATACCCCCCACACCCCCATCCCCCCCCCCCCCCCCAAAAAAAAACATGTATACCGTCCCATTCAACGAAATATAATTATATACTTTTTCCAGTGTCCGCCCCCTCCCCGAAAATTCTACGCCCGCCCCCGAAAATTTCAAGTACCCCCACCCCTCTCAGTAGAGGAAAAAGTCTGAAAGAAACACTTGTGTCGCGCTTAGCCACTTCGCGAAGAATTGCATTAAAGAAATTGCAAGAAAACCCCTTTTTAGATTAGACACATTAATTAGGCGGTAATTTTATTATAGAGTATCGATGAGGAAATTTCTTTTGAGTTGGGGAGGGGGGGGGCTCAAACGTTCTTACGCGGGGGTGGGGCTTCGCCCCTACCCGAAGAATTGTATGAAAGAAACTCTTCACGCAAACCACTTAGATTAGACAAAATTGCCTTTTTATTCAACGTTTACTCGAGAATCAATGACGTCATATTACTGTGTGCACTCTCCGGCTTGATATTATTTTCTACTATACGACGTCATACTTCGTTTTCGTTTCACTGTGCAAGTTTTTAATTTCCTTGTGTTTTCTCTATAGCGTTCTTGTCAGATAGAATTTTTGCTTATGTTTTCTCTAGAGCGTTCTTGTCAGACAGAGCGTTCTTGTCAGATAGATACATACATACATACACAGACAGCGAAACTATTAGTATTAATATTATAAATAAAAATATTAAAAATATCTTAAACAAGAATTGTAAACACTCTGTGTTATCTTGGAAAGAAAAAAAATATATGAATAAAATTAAATAATATTTTATATCTATTTAAAAATAGCGGTTGCTGACTAAACAGCCTTTCTTTAAACTACGTCATTTGGATATTGCCATAGTCGATTATTATTCGGGAAATGGACGTTATTTTTCCTGATTTATGCATACATTGTATTGCTATTGAGAAATTGCGTTAAATCGACACAGCAATCATAATTTCAGACATTGCTTTAGGAATATACCATTTAACGAAGCAATGAAGTCAAACGAGAAATAAAAACATTTACTCATCATGAACTAGGGTGAAATTTTTCACACATTTCTAACAAAACAAAAAAAATGAATAGTTAACTCCAACAGTAAAATAGGTCTTCTCTACTAATCTGAACCAAGAGAACAAAAAATAAGAATGTATAAAAAATTAACTTTGTTAACATCATGATTATATTGGATTTAACCAATTTGATAAAGTGTTTACATTATACCAGTAAAGTAAGAAAAAGTGGTGTACCCTTTTCGAGCCAACTGGTCTATGTGGCAAATGACCTAGAGTTCACCTGCTCTTCGGTATAGGAAAGGATAGTATCGTAGGCAATATGCACAGAAGCCTTTAACATAACATGAGTTTGGTACACATCAGGTGGATTTAGTTATTTTCTACTGATTTGAACCTTGATTCGAACTCGAGTATAAATAGAATAGCATAAGTAGAATAGAGCGGTACCGCTAAACCACACTGTCACATGCATCTGAGAAGTATGTGCTAACATTTAATATTTATTGATATAAAAAAACATTGTACAGTAAAACCATTAAAAATAAATTAGTTAAAATTAATTCATTATATAAAATGCCAAAAAATATTATTTGAATGCATCTTGAAATGAACAAAGCTATATTCTAAAGAAAAAATTATTTTTCATTGTATTTTTTAAAGCAGACCACTATATAATATGTTCTTTTATATTTTAAACACGTATTTTAGCTGTGATTCTAATATATCGTAAATTATATTTGTTATTAATGATTTATGCCGTTTTTTTCAAATAATTTTAATCAGATATAGAAGCTGGGCCCAGCAGAAAACGATCAAACTGCAGTAATTGCTTAGCTGAAGGTCTCTCTTGAGGATCCATGATGAAAGTTTTATCTAAAAATTCTTTTAGTTCTTCAGACGAGTTTGGCGGAAGTTTATACGATGGCTTTTGTAGAGTAGCCAGCTTATAGACATGCTGTTCATATCGAAGGGAATTGTCTGGTCGCTTTTGCGTTAGCATTTGAACGACCGTACACCCAACACTCCTGTGGTAAAGAAAGGTTAAATGTAATCTCATGTTTGATGTTGACGTAACAACATTACACATATTACATTTTGTAACGCAAGTGTAAACAGTAATAATGCAACTCAAAATCATTATGTTATATAAAGTTAAACAATGTTTTGAATTTTTTTCTCATTAACCAAAATGATCACACCGTTTATTTAAAATTACAAATATATTTTTGTTTCTGTATATTTAGATTCATATATATCATACACTTAATATTCTGCTAGTTTGTGTATTATTTGGAGAGGTAATTTAATATAAACAGTAAATAAAAGCGTTGGTTTTATTTATTATTTTTCTAATGTTAGTTAACTTTTAAAACGTCATATTGGTAATAGAATAATCCAAAGTAGTTACCAAATGTCAGCTTTGGAATAGAACTCTAATTTTAGGTCGCCTGCCAACACTTCAGGTGCTGTGAACCCAGGTGTACCACAACCGTTTATGGCCTGGAGATCATGCTCTTTTGTAATTAATTTTGAAAGCCCAAAGTCAGCTATCTTAACACTATTTTATTCTCAATTAAAATGTTAGTGCCTGAAATTCAAAATATAATATTTAAAAAAAAATTAAGTCTTTCATTTTAAACTATGTGCACAGGACTAATACTAAAAATACAACAGATAATATATGTTTAGTAGAGAGAGAAAGTTATTTCTGATAAATAAAAGTTTTAAGTTATTTTAGAAAAAAACAAATTTCGAATTGTCATAATGTGTAAGCAATATTTATGTAATACTTAAAATATTGACTATAGACAAGCTAATTTGCTACTGTAAATGGCATATTTAATACATTAACAAATTTGACTTAGATTCAATGTGAAAACACTATTGTTCTTATTTAAGAAGTATTTTTCCGAACATTCGACATTCTAATTAAATTAAAAAAAAAATATAACCTTTAATATCCAGATGTAGTATTTTATTTTGATGTAGGTATTCCAAACCTTCTAGTATCTGTTTTGTAAATTTACGTGTTGTTTCTTCATCTAAACCGTTTTTCTTCTTTATATAGGTTGCTATATATATATATATATATATATATATATATAATGTATGTATTTATTTGAAAGAGCAAACATTTTAAAAATTAACTGGATTTGAATACTACTAACCTTAGGCATATATTCTAAGAATATAATAATTGACATATCCTTTATTTGATATCCATGAAAATGTATTATATTTTTATGCCTTGCCTTTAATAAAAGTTGTGCCTCTGATAAAAAATTTACCTAAAAAAATTGAATTTTATGAGTTATATCAATAAAAAAAAAATGTAAACGTATTACTATATTATGTACTAATTGTGCAAAGCACTTTTAAAAAAATAAATAGTATACCGTAAATATATAAGGTAATCAGAGGCGTAGCTTAGGGGGAAGGTGCATCCGCACAAGACGCCTACTGAAGGGGCGTGCGCCAAAAAGGGTAGAAAAAAATTAAAAAGCTCAATTTAAGCAGTAGTTTTAAATTTAAAAATTCAAAGTAAAATATTTAAACCGCTACACGCCTTTACATGATGATTTATCTGCTTTTACCTGGACTGTTTTACTGTAAATAAATACCCTTTAAAAAAAACAACCGCAAAAACATTAACACTTAGAAAACAAACCAATTGTATTAAATCGCAATGTATAAAAGTAAAAACAAAACGGGGGAGGTGGGCTTTTTCTCAAAGGTATATGGTAATGTTTAACACCGAAATGGTGAGTAGATAAATAAATAAACAATTAGGATAGAAACCAATATTATTAACGTACGAGAAAAATGGCCCGTTGAGGAAGGGTACAGCGGGCGCTAGGCTGATAGTGCTGTCTCTTTTCTCTAAACTAAAACCAACCCACCCCCCAAAACACACCACCCCCCACCCCCACCACCCCCAACACCCCCACACCCCACCCCCCCCCCCCCCCCCCCCACACACCCCACCCCCCCCACACCCCCCAAAAAACATGTCTACCGTCCCATTCAACGAAATATAATTCTATACTTTTTCCAGAAAATTCTACCCCCGCCCCCGAAAATTTCAAGTACCCCCCACCCCTCTCCGGGGAGGAAAAAGTCTGAAAGAAACACTGGTGTCGCGCTTAGCCACTACCCGAAGAATTGCATTAAAGAAATTGCAAGAAAACCCCTTTTTAGATTAGACACATTAATTAGGCGGTAATTTTATTATAGAGTATCGATGAGGAAATTTCTTTTGAGTTGGGGAGGGGGGGGGGCTCAAACGTTCTTACGCGGGGGTGGGGCTTCGCCCCTACCCGAAGAATTGTATGAAAGAAACTCTTCACGCAAACCACTTAGATTAGACAAAATTGCCTTTTTATTCAATGTTTACTCGAGAATCAATGACGTCATATTACTGTGTGCACTCTCCGGTTTGAGATTATTTTCTACTCTATGCTAAATGTGGCGACGTCATACTTCGTTTTTCGAATTACTAAGCAGGTTTTTAATTTCCTTGTGTTTTCTCTAGAGCGTGCTTGTCAGATAGAGCGTTCTTGTCATGTTTTCTCTAGAGCGTTCTTGTCAGATAGACAGACAGCGAAACTATTAGTATTAATAATGTAGGACTTATCTAGCCAGATTTTTTAAAGAAATGAAGCCACTAGTTCTTTCTGTGATTCCTGCTATTCTCTCACTTTCAACGTGAGAGATCATTTGTTCGTGAGATATTTTGTCTGAGATATTTTGTCTGAGATCATTTGTCCTGTCACCATATATATATATATATATATATATATATATATATATATATATATATATATATATATATATATATATATATATATATATATATATATATATATATATATATATATATATATATATATATATGCTTACAATTGTATCCTGTCTTGCTTCAATCCAAATTTGTTTTGCAGCAAATCTTTTTTCATCAGGTTTCTCCAAATCTGTAACAAGGTACACAGTTCCAAATGATCCTCTGTCGAGTTGATCTTTGATTTCAAAATTTCGCGGAAAATCTTGTGAGTATACATCGGGTGAGCCTTTAAAAAAGTATTACCACTTCTAAGTTGTTTAATAAATCGACTGCTACGACTGCTAATATCATATTTGCATTTTTAAACATGTAATATTCTGATTATTGGAACTTACATTTGTTATGTATGTAACTTTATTTACAAGCATTTTAATTAATTATACAAGGCAATAAAACAATTCAGTGAATATCTAATTTATACATGAAAAGATTACGTTTATTTATTTGGAAATTCTCAACTCATTGTTTTTTTTTCCACTGTAATCCTGTTTCCGAGTTAAAATGAAATTAAATACCACCTTTTGTCACACATTAGCAAAATGATTGATCTTCTAATTTGAGGCACTTTATCCAAATCCCTTGTAAATTTAATTCAATTACAGATTTTTATTTCTAATTGGAACTCGATTTCTTTTCGAAATAACCTTTTGTTTTGTAATGTGCGGTGATTACAAAAATGTTTGTATTGAAATTTGTTCGGAAAATCATATTGAAGACCATTTAACAAAATTATGGTATGTATGAATATAGCTTATATATATATATATATATATATATATATATATATATATATATATATATATATATATATATATATATATATATATATATATATATAAGTAAAGTTTCCCTTTCAAACCTGGCGGTCTATGGGGCAAGTGAAGTAGAGTTCACGTGTTTCTGTGACCTCGGAGAGATAGTGTGGTCAGCACTATGCCCAGCCGCCTTTACTTTCCCTAACATGAGTTAGGTACCCATCGAGTTGGGTGGACTCAGGGACGGTATACTACTTGAACCCGGATTCGAACTCGAGACTTACGGGTTAGCAGTCCAGCTCTCTACTGCTAGACCACTCCGTCCCATATATATATATATATATATATTTTATATATATATATATATATATATATATATATATATATATATATATATATATATATATATATATAATATAAGCGGGCTGAGCGTGTGTCAGTCCTTCCTTCCGTCCGTCCGTCATCGCTATAGATTTTGGAACCATAAAAGTAAACATCGCACCATACTGTGCTTTTCAGTGCACCGCAGTGTCTTACTATAAGCAATAGAGTAGGGTTTGTTTATATAACGACATAGAGCTATTTTATAATTGCCACTGTGTTTACTCTTTTGCATAACTTAAAGAAAATATTAAATACACACACATTGCTAAAACATATTAAAAGGATCAATGTCAAATATCATTTTTGTTTATATTTCTAGAAAAAGTGGATACATTTTAATAACATAATAACAGTACGGTAGAAAAATCAAATTAATTTAACTCTTTTCTAATTTTGACAAAGGAGGTAATTTAAAATACATTAAACTCACGCTAATAAAAAATGTGAATGCAAATATACGTTCGTCATAGAAGGAATTAGTGTTGCAATAATATAATTAGCAAAATGCGAATGCAAATTATTCAGATGTGTAAGAGGAAATTATTGTTAGAAAATTATAATTAGCATGGATTGATAAAAAGCAATCTTTTATTTATTTTATTCACTGAATGTAGGCCCTACTGTTTATTACTTATAATTTTTAATCAACTATTCAGCACTATTATAGACGCGTCATCACTTTCATTAGGTGCGCAATGGTTTTAGTTATGAAACTCTATTGTAAATTTTTAAAATTTAAAGTACTGGGAAAAAAATGCGTGAATGGATAAAGTGAAATATTGTAGGTAAAACACGGATATTTTAAATACTGCCTATTATTTATACTGTTTACTAATTATTATTCTATCTTTCGGTTTGAGGACAAGCTAGGGGTTTTATAGGAGAGGCGTAGCGAGGGGAGGGCATATGTCCCCGGGTGCCGACCTTAGGGGGCGCCAAATTGGGTTGGAAAAAATTTGCGATGGGGGGGGGGGGGTGGAAATCGAAAGTTTTAGGGCAGGGGGGGGACAGGGTTGCAAATCAAAAGTTTGAGCGGGGGAGATTTTAAATCAAAAGTGGTGCAAATCGAAAGTCTGAGGGGAGGTACAAATCGAAAGTTTGAGGGAGTAGGGTGGAAATTGAAATTTTGAGGGTAGGGGGTGCAAATCGTAAGTTTAAGGGGGGGGGGGGTCAAATCGAAAGTTTGTCCCCGGGCGCCGGAAAGGGTCGCTACGCCTCTGTTTTATAGTCATTAACTGAGTTTGTGAGATTTGGCGCTACGGGCTAGACTGTGAGCAATATGCCTTTATGATTGTATTTAAATTGTGTTTAATGTTATGAGTGTTGTGTTTGTTTTTTCGTTTTTTTTTTTTTTTGCGTTTGTTGTGTGTGTTTAGTTTTGTTCTGTTCCCAACTTGGTACATTTAAAAAAGATTTACCGTGGCGGAGCACGGGATGCAGCTAGTATATATATATATATATATATATATATATATATATATATATATATTATATATATATATATAATTATATATATATATATATATATATATATATATATATATATATATATATATATATATATATATATATATATATATATATATATATATATATATATATATATATATTTAAATTACCTTCCTTGCAAAAATTACAAAAATATTTCGACTTACTGTTATGAAAATGTACCCACTTTTTCTAGGAATATAAACGAAAATGATATTTGACATTGATCCTTTTAAAATGTTTTAGCAATGTGCGTGTATTTAATATTTTCTTTACGTTATGCACACGAGTAAAAGCAGTGGCAAATATAAAATAACTTTATGTCGTTATATAAATAAACCCTACTCTATTGCTTATAATAAGACATTGCGATGCACTGAAAAGCACTGCCTTTTGCGATGTTTACTTTTATGGATCCAAAAGCTATAGCGATGACGGAAGGAAGGAAGGACTATCTTCTTCTTTGTTCTTAATTGAGAATATGGTGGAGGATTTAGACAACAAGCCCAGCTTCGTGTATGAACTGGACTGTGGTCTCCAGTTCTGCAGGTGCCCCATATAATTTTTCCTTCAGTGGGGTGAGTAGGGGCCAGTGTTTGGCTCGCAC